AGTCAACCTTGAGCCGGTGAGATTAGAACCGCTGAACTGCAGATAACAGTCAGCTGAAGTGGCCTGCAGTACCGCACCCTAACCACTGCGCCACCACTTCAGACAAATGGTTGTCCAATCTCTTCTTAAAAACCTCCAGTGTTGGAACATTCACAACTTCTGGAGGCAAGTTGTTCCACTGATTAATTGTCTTCACTATCAGGAAATTTCTCCTTTAGTTCTAGGTTGCGTCTCTCCTTGATTAGTTTTGATTTAGTTTTCTTTTGAAGTTCTTGTGTCTTATTACCTGAACTATACCTGTAATATTTTGTTCTAGTCTTTTGGGGAGGGGGGAGAGAAGATTGAGGGAGCTTGGCAACAGTGCTTTGCATCCCTGGTTAAAAAGTAGCAGATATTAATGAGAAAGACCTGAATTTGCAGTCACACCAGCCAATACATATTTGAATGGCCTGACTTAACTTCCTTGTGTTTCTTCCTTTGAAATATTAATGGGTACATTAGGAATCCCTCCAAATTTTTACCTTCGTTCTTTTTGATTTGGGAAAAGCTTTGTAATCTGTTTGCTGAGAGGTGTAGACACAATCACACTTTGGATTAAAGCTCATGATAAGAATGCTAAATTCTCTCTTGCTTGTTGTGCAAAATCTAAAATGAACCAGATCATCTTTCTGAAAATGGGGAGGTCTTGTTTCACTTACTGTTTCTCAACTTGTTTTTTCTTTTTTGTATGTGTGATTGTTCCCGTGTCAAACTATTTTTAAAAGTAATGGAATGAAACAAATTAAATCTTCCTTGCACTTTCTGATTTTTTAAATGAGAGATGCTGAGTTCAAGACATTCTTTGCTTTAGACTGCATTGGGCAGACTGCATTTGTCCAGCCAAAGCAATTTGCACACACTTACATAAATTATTATTTTTTCCTGATGGTAGGTTACAGCTGATGTGTTAAAGGAAATCTGTGAACATATAGGAGTTACTGAGTTGGAGGAGATCCAAGAATTTGCCATCTTAGCCGACAAAGACAAAGGCAAGTGTACTAATGGTCAACTTCAATACAGTGAAATCCAATAAATATGGAGATTCACTCTAGTACAGCTTTCTCCTTCCCACTGACTTCTACTGCCAGGGTCCTAGTTTTCTGGGATTGTATACAATCACGTGAAAAAGAAAATAAACTTTCTTTGAGTTCAATGTTCTTACATATCAGGACAGACCAGTAGTAAAAATCATCTGGTCCTCTAGGGGGCAGTGTTCATCTCCGTTTCAAAGCCGAAGAGCCAGCGCTGTCTGAAGATGTCTCTGTAGTCATGTGACCGGCATGACTAAACACCGAAGGCGCATGGAACTCTGTTACCTTCCCACCAAAGGTGGTCCCTATTTTTTCTACTTGCATTTTTANCTGGGAAAACCCGAATCTGAAAGCTTCCAGGTTTTCCCCACCCAAATGAAAGTCCAAGCCCCTACCAGCACCCACATGTCCATCATCATGATCCAATCAGGCACTGTCCCAACTGGAGATGCCTTCTAGTCCCACACTTCCAGGTGCAGGGCAAGATGTCCTTGACTCTCTGAGAAAGGAATGTTATTTTGACTATATATCTCTCATACTCCATATAATTCCTCCCCTCCCATTTTCCCACAGCAGTAAATGTGGCAGGCCAGAAGGCCCAATGCAAAAGATGGCTTCCAGACCTGACAACATATTTATAGTAAATTTCGCGTACATCCTTGGTGTTCATTAAGAAGTTTTGAATAAGTAAGCCAGAATATGTTGGTCAAACGAATTCTTCTTTGAGATGATTACAAGCAGTTATAAGGGAAGACATCCAAGATAGAACAAGTGTTATGTGGAACAATGTGTCTGGAATAATAGATGCTGTAATATTTGAAGGAAAACAAGATCTGTACTGCTATACTGTATCCATCATAGTCATATGGGTCAGATATATGTATTTGCATTCATCAAAATTATTTTTTAAATCAAATATTAAACTAAAACGTTGCTTCAAGTTCCATTGATTTGAAGAATAAAAATACAGATAGTCCCTGACTTATGACAATTATAGGGACCAGAATTTCTGTTGCTAAGCGAGGTAGTTGTTAATTAAATAATGCCAGATTTTACATATATTTTTGCCATGGTTGTTAAGTGAATCACTACAGTTGCTAAGCAAACCACTGGTCATTAAGCGAATTTGGCTTCCCCATTGACTTTGCTTGCTGGAAGCTGGCTGGGAAAGTTGCAAATGGTGACCAGGTGAATCCAGGATATTGCAACCATTGTAAACACAGGCTGGTTGCAAAGTAACTGATGATTGATCACCTGACTGCAGGGAAGCTGTGACCGTCGTCAGGTGAGGATCTGTTCTAAGTCACTTTTTCCAATGCCATTGTAACTTGGAATAGTTGCTAAATGAATCAATGTAAGTGGAGGACTGCCTGTACTCAAATGCTTAATTCTATTTCTCAAGTGCTCAATTTTTGCCAGGAATTGGCTTTCAATTAGGAACAAAAATGCCTATATTGTACTTTTTTTCCCGTTGTCAGAAGGGCCACTCTTTGCGCCGGATATCAGTCATCTTACCTGGAGGTCTGCAATATAGCACAAAGATTAAGACATTCACTGTAAGTTCCTATTTAGTCCATTAAAAAGGATATTGTGGAGTGGTGCTCCACATATCCATGGTGATGAGCATTTTCTTTCTTTTTTTAAAATTAATGATGTTGTTGCCTTACTGAGAGGATACCCAAAGATCAGTTTTTGATGCAGACATCTAAGAGGCCAGTCTGCATCTTGGGTTACCCAGTTATGCTAGAATAGAATAGAATAGAATAGAATAGAATAGAATAGAACAGTGTTTCCCAAACTTTTGACATATGTGTACCCCTTCTATAATTTTCGTAACGCTGAGTACCCCTCATAAAAACATATGCTTTAATAAAAATCAATATATATATATATATATATTG